GAGGGCATGTGTGGAGCTATGGCCGTGTATGTGTTGCTATTTTGTTTGAGTCACCTAGCTGCCGACACTTGGGAGTGCATGATTATCATGATATGTGTGTCTACGTGAAAGAACATGTAGAGAGAGTCGTATTGCATTCGCATCTAGCGCATTGCGCATTTTTCGAATTTTGGCCCCCTTCCAGGGACCTTGATTTTTACCCGCTGGCACTGACGTCTTTTAATTGGTCAGCCGGTTAGCGCGGTCGATGCTAATAATAAAAACACACACACACAGACGGTTTACCTTCGAGCTAGCTCGTTTTCTGTCCATGCGAACTCGCGATGTGTTCAAACGTCACGGGCTACTACTGATCGACCAACTTCCACCAGGGCCAATCGGTTGGGATCTCTGCGACAACGATAGTAATGAGGGTGATTATTTTGGGAGTGACGGACACGAAGGGAAGAAAAAGGGAATAAGAGGACAAACACGACGATGGAGGAGGACAACATGGAGGAGTGGAAGAGAGCAAAGGGTTTGAGCCAGATGACCTTTCCCAAAAGAAAAAACGTCGGACTAGGAAATAACTGCCCAGAGATTCTATGTCGAAATGAGGATCAGAATGATGTTAGCGAAAACAAGGTAGTCTAGATGGTGAAAGTACTCCTAATCGAACTCGAGTACAAGGTAGTAGCCTTGGTAGACACGTGCAGTTTTCTTCTGTTGCTGCTGTTTCTGTCTTTGATCCGAAGGACAGTTTGGCCTCCCTCATGCTGCCCCCTCACGGGGTCCCAGTTCATGGCAAATGGAAGTGTTTTGTGTTTTCAACCGCACTGAGACTGACGTCTTTTTATTGGTCAGCCGGTTAGCGCGGTCGATGCTAATAAAAAAACACACACACACATCCATATGCATAGATTCGCGGAAGGAACTGCTGTAAAAATTTACCTGTCGCTGTGCTGCTCGACGTCTTCGTCCTCCACTTCCATGGGACTGCAGCTGCTGCCAGCCTGGTGTCCACCTCTCCTCTTGAGGCAATCCGAGCACTCTCTCTGCTGTCCGTGGCCTTCCTCTCCGATGCCNCAGTTTGGCCTCCCTCATGCTGCCCCCTCACGGGGTCCCAGTTCATGGCAAATGGAAGTGTTTTGTGTTTTCAACCGCACTGAGACTGACGTCTTTTTATTGGTCAGCCGGTTAGCGCGGTCGATGCTAATAAAAAAACACACACACACATCCATATGCATAGATTCGCGGAAGGAACTGCTGTAAAAATTTACCTGTCGCTGTGCTGCTCGACGTCTTCGTCCTCCACTTCCATGGGACTGCAGCTGCTGCCAGCCTGGTGTCCACCTCTCCTCTTGAGGCAATCCGAGCACTCTCTCTGCTGTCCGTGGCCTTCCTCTCCGATGCCCCGACCACAAAACGCGTGCATGGGTCGCCCGCATGGACACTGATGAACCAGTGACACCAGTGCAGATTTGAACTGGCACGTCGGTTCGCCGCATGGCTTCAAGCCGGCAGCAGACGAACCGCTAGCAGATGGAAAGAATATTTCCATACACCCACACGCAGTGTGCGGCTGCAGCAGACCGCTGTTGATGATCCAGGATCTACAAGTGCTGCAGCACATTTTCTGGGGGGGGTCGAATGGTGGAAAACCCTACCCCCCTACTTTTTCACATCTGCGGGGCACCATGTCTCTGAGATTTTTGTGTCCTTAAAGCGGGGAGTGTCTTTGAATATGGTTTCTTTCAAGCGGGGACGACTGTACCAAGACTGAACCAAGGGGGTGTACCTCATTCTCTCCGGCCCGTGATGGTGACTCCGAGTCTCATTTGTTACCTCGCATAGCGCGCAGAGGGAGTGGAGGACTCCAGAACACCTGTCGTTGATTTCTATTGACTTGCGGACCCCTCGGGGGCATTGTATCTGAGTGTACCTTTTTAGGGTAAATTAGCCTGTGACCACGGGAATCGACCCCGTCGAGTGTTGGATCAGCACGGACATTCGAAGGTACTGGGTAGAGAGAGATCGGAACGGTTTTTAATGNCTCTGAGATTTTTGTGTCCTTAAAGCGGGGAGTGTCTTTGAATATGGTTTCTTTCAAGCGGGGACGACTGTACCAAGACTGAACCAAGGGGGTGTACCTCATTCTCTCCGGCCCGTGATGGTGACTCCGAGTCTCATTTGTTACCTCGCATAGCGCGCAGAGGGAGTGGAGGACTCCAGAACACCTGTCGTTGATTTCTATTGACTTGCGGACCCCTCGGGGGCATTGTATCTGAGTGTACCTTTTTAGGGTAAATTAGCCTGTGACCACGGGAATCGACCCCGTCGAGTGTTGGATCAGCACGGACATTCGAAGGTACTGGGTAGAGAGAGATCGGAACGGTTTTTAATGTGAAGACAACAACAACACTCGCGGCTCTATAACCGTCG